TATATAGAAACCAAGTCATTGCCGATTGTTTCGACTTCCGGATCTGACCGCCCCGGCAATCACATTCGTGAGTTATTATCTTATTGCGCGCCAGTTATATTGGCATCTCGCCCTTACTCTTAATCGTCCGCCGAAAACTGACACGGGCGGTGAGCCGGTCTCTCTCCATGGTCCGCGCGCTCCCTATAGTCCCATTTCATGCGGCCACGCAGCGCGCCGAATGGCGCTGAGTGCCGACGTGACATATCGGAGTCCCACAGAGCAAAAATCTTTCCGTCGCGTAGCATTCCGCTACTCCGCACGTCAAGCGCTCTGATTGGAGCACACTAGCTACTCGAGTCGAGTATATAAGCAGAACGCTACATAATAGGAAACTTTTTTCTTGTCGGACTCCGACGTGGTCGCGTCGGCACTCGGCAGTAGTAGTACGGACACGCACACATTTTATTTGGGATAGTCTACTGACTGTCTACATAGATGACACTTATACAATAGTTTACGTTGTCTACACGTAAACGTAGAATATTATATTTTACGCGTAGATGCACAACCCTGGTCAATTGTGCCGTGCATGAGTTGACGCAGTTAGAGCGGTCGACCGCTAGATGTCGGGGTTGTTGCCGACGCCGCTCTTCTTTGTTGCACATATATATGCAGCGGTCAATACTAAAAGGTTCTCCGTCTCCGAGACCGGTCGCCGGCGAGTACTCACTCGTACTTCTCGTTCCCTTCTTGTCGCCGTTGCGTCTTTCTGCACGGATCGCCGTCTTTCTCCGAAGAAGCTACTCAAGGTAACCATCGTCATTCCGAATCAATTGTTCGCCGTTTGTCACATAATTTCCGACGGAAACGACATTTTGTCCGAGACGGGAATGGGAGAGCGAGCGACGCCGGACGATCGCTCTAGATTCGGTCGCCTTTTTTTTTCTTTGTCCGAAATCAACGGTCGACATATCCGGCGGCTTATCGGACGAACCCGGGCGAAACTAAGTTCGCGCGTTATTGTGATGGACGTACGACGGCAGGATCCATCCGAAAACGCAATTACGTAATTCGGAAGCTTCCTGCCTCCGACACACGTAGCCTCGTCTCTCGCCAGTCCTCTATTTCGCGTGAATTGCGCTCTATTTCGCAAGACCCCGGAGGTCACCGAGAGAGAGAGAGAGAGAGAGAGAGTGATGGAGAGGATTCGAGATCGCCACAACTATTTGGCGTCGTCATTATTCGACGAGTCACGACAGAACGAATCGCGTCGACTTGCGATTCCCATCGAAATGATTTAACGCAAATTATCTCGAGGAAATAATTATCCCTCTTGAATGAGGATGCTCTAACAAAATCACCCGCGGCGAGATTCAGTGTCGGCTTGGGAAAAAAATGTAAATTACATACGTGTTACCGTCTTTTTACCATTAATTTTATTTTGCTTTCAATATTTTGAGAATTTGAAACGGAAAACGGAAAGTGCAGTCATGCGATTGTCATTGTTTCTATAATTAATATCTGAATTTTATTTAATAATTTGACTCGTCCTGTAAATCCTCTCCATCATAAATCGTCTGAAATCACTTTCATTGTCTGTGGAATATATTCTATTCTGACGGAAAAATTTGTATATGTGCATCTTTCTTGGAAACATTTACGTTTGCGTAAGCGCAGTGAGAGAGAAACGTCATCGGTACGGAATTTATGACAGATCTTTTTTTTTTTTTTAACGGATTTCCGCGTTCTATCGTTGCGCGAATTAACGCAATTTCGACTCGCTGCCGGCTTGCCTGGCGTACGCGAGAGAGCGGATATCAATTGCATTCGCCGGCACGTATCGCGTATGGATTTATGCGCGGTAATCTCCATCAGGCAACGTCGAGCGAATTGCCGAACAATTACCGTACAGATTAGCCGTACAGATTAGCGGTATTGTTCTCCCGTGGGAATTTCTTCAAGGCCACGGTGGTTATCGAACGAGAAGGCGCAAATCGAAATTAACGAGGTTTTGACGGCGACGTGAACAACAACGTGTGAGGAGCAACAAATCTGGATGCCAGATATTTACACATGTTTCAATTTATTATATCAATCGCGTATGCGATATAATAACTTCATATACGCAATTATACATAATCTTCACATATTGTCTACGTAATTTACAATTTACAATTTCGTCGAAGTCTAAAAAAAGAAAAGAGAGAAGTCGCCTCCTAATCTTAAATGTCAATTAAGATCCACGTTGTTTCACGGCGTTTTCACGACTTTCGGTAATTGCAACATCCGTTGCAATTACTAGTAAAAATTTAACTACGCAAAAACTTAGACGTCTATCTGCTCCTTTAAGCTGAAATAAAAGGAAGGCAAGGTTGCGGTTATCGCTGAGTGCACATTATAGCCGGAGTTACGCGAGCTCGAAATGGAGCCGTTTAACAAAGAAAAGTTTCGCCATAATGCGAGGTCGTCCGATTAGACGAAGTATCCCTTTTTTTTTAGTGCTTCTTTACGCCAATGAGTCGCTCCTTCACAAGCGAAGCACTTTTCCTCTCGCGATTCCTTTGTACATACATGCATACGTGTGGTTTCCTTTTTATTCTTTTCTTCTCTCTCATACGAAACCTCGGCTTATACACATGTGACCGTTGCGCAATCCGAGGTCTCACCTGGTGTCCCAGTTGAATCGATCCCTCCGTATTCATCCTCGATTGGTCCTTCCGGGAAATGCTCTGAATCCAATCTTCCGCGAAGCCGCGTCACTCGTGCATTATACTGTAGATTGAGAATTAACCCTTTGATGTTAATTGTCGAGTTAATTTTTAACGCTTTTTAATATTAATTATCGAATTAATTTTTAATGCTAATTTATGCAGAACCAGCCGGAGAGCGCTATATGTAAATTTTAATTCGGCGCCCAGTGTGTCAATGATATATTACTGATTTTGTAATAAACTGACGTGCGAGATATACAAATAATCAAGCCGATTATTCATAAAACTTTGCACGTGGCTTCCCCCCCCCCTCCAAATCGACCCTTCTTGTTTAAATATAAAATTTATATTTACATACTCGCGCGGTTTCGCGACGAATAAATTCGTTATGCCTAATCAATTCTGGTTATTTTCTGGCGTTTCTGCGTCATCGAGTTTTTTTTTTTTTTTTTTTTCGAGCCACGTTCGTTATTCCTTATTCATGCATGGTTTCGTTTGTCGCGCGATTGACATTTTAATATTTATTGGCTCGTCATCTCAAACGGGGAGAGATAACGGCACACACGTGTGCGTGCGAACTTGACGATGTGCGACAAGTCGCGATACACGCGAAACACGCGAGGATCTTTACATAAGTTATCGTTGAACAAACGTTTAGCTAAGCGGCGGTATTTTACCGGAGAGCTTATCGCGCGAACCCACTCGTGCTGAGTGCTGACTTAAAACGCTGCTGATTACACTTACGAATTACTCTAATCTCAAGTACGTTCTCCGCGAAGCGCAATACATTTCCGCCATGGTATTTCCACCGAAATTCTTATCGCGCGACTCGCGGAAGCTTGGCCGCACACGTTCAAGGTCGTGTTTTTTTTTTTTTGCAGAAACAAGTTTTCGCAAATTGTATCACTCGGATTCTGGCGATAAGCGAAAGCTCGTGGTGTAACGTTGCCGTCGAATTTATCGCGCGGGCATGCTAGATGCGGGTTTGTTGCGAAACTGCCGCGCGAGAGTAGAGATAAATTAAAAATAATAATCGCGTGCAACGATTTGCTGGAAATAATAAGTCGTATACGTTATTCATATGCATAGTAGTTGCCGTTGTGGGATTATAGAGTTTCTCTGTGTTTCTCTGTGTTGTAGCTACAAAGCAGCAGCAATCATGCCAGTGCCTGAGCTCCAGAAACCGGCGCCCGCTTTCACCGGCACCGCTGTCGTGAAGGGACAATTCAAGGATATCAAACTCTCCGACTACAAGGGCAAATATGTTGTGCTCTTCTTCTACCCGTTGGACTTGTAAGCACGTCACGATCACCTAGGCGGGAGAGTATAACGAGACGGTTATGCAACTCGCAATTGCCGCTGTGCGAGAAGTATCGTGTAATTGCTTAGCATTTACATCCAGAAGTACTCTTTAGCTGATACATTTTAAACGATAACAAAGAGATACGTGTTCTACATTCTGATACAGATTCGTAAAGCAGATTTTTAAATCGTGGTTCGTCACGTCGGGTTTAAAGCGATTTACGTTACGCGTTTAATTTAAATTATAATTGACAACTGGTTGCGATATATTTAACAAAGAAATATTGACTGCTTAAAGATTTGCATTTGTAGGAAGTAAAAATCACGTTGCGCATCTTGCCAAGATGAATAAGAAGTAGACAATTTAGACGGGCTGCCGTTTGGACTATGATTGCATAAGTATATATTTTGCCCGCAGCACTTTCGTATGCCCGACGGAAATCATCGCTTTCTCCGACCGAGCGAAGGAATTCACCGACATCGGCTGCCACGTGATCGCCGCGTCCACCGATTCCCACTTCAGCCACCTCGCGTGGATAAACACGCCGCGCAAGCAAGGTGGTCTCGGTGAGATGAACATCCCCCTGCTGGCGGACAAGAGCAGTAAGATCGCCCGCGACTACGGTGTGCTCGACGAGCAGTCGGGAATCGCCTTCCGCGGACTTTTCATCATCGACGACAAGCAGAACTTACGCCAGGTCACCATCAACGACTTGCCCGTAGGAAGGTAAGGCTCTCGCTCGATTATTGAAAGAGAAAAATTAATAAAAATTTATTTTGTGCCTTGACAGTATAAGTTTAGAATTGCCACAGATCTGGAAAAGTCAGAGAAATTTAAACTGATCAGGGAAAATTTGGAAAGATATAAAAGAACCTGAAATTTTGAACTTTGCTCACAATTTCCTTAAAAGGATCATTTATTTTATCGACAAAGTTCAATAATTTTTTTGTACAATGTTTTTGTATGTATTGCTTTTTCTTATTTGAAAATCCTTTTCCACAATCAAACACTAGACAATAACAGAATGAAATGATTTTGTATAAAAATAAAAATATTTTCGAAAATTACGATTTTCTTCGAGACTTTTCTCTGTCATCGCAATCAAAAATATTCTGAATATTTAGCGATATTAAAGAAATGTCTATAGAAATAGTTTTACTTTTACCACTGAGTTTTTGTTTGGTTTTCGAGCAAAATCCCCGCGGAAAATTCAGTTATACCAAAGGAATTTTTTTTCTGTAGTAATGCATAACATCAATGTCAAAGCGATGTTAATAATTTATTGGCCTGAATTTGCATTTAGGATTATATTATATTATTAAATTTCTAAATTTATATTGCTTCTAATAATATAAGTTACCTTTCTTGTAATATGTATTTTCTAAACATTAAAATTTAGAATTATATATTTGATTATGGAAAAGTCAATTTCAAAATTCATTTTTTGTGGCAACCCTGAAGTTTTCAGAATATAGCATTCAACATAAGATTGATAGTAATAATTGAACGCAATTTTATCGCTAATAATACTAACGATTTTATTCTACATATTAATTGCAGATCCGTGGACGAAACTCTGCGTCTGGTCCAAGCATTGCAGTACACCGATAAGCACGGCGAAGTTTGTCCAGCCGGCTGGAAACCCGGCAAGAAGGCTATGAAGGCCGACGTCGTTGGCTCGCTGGAGTACTTTAAGGATCAATAGATAATAAATTCATACTGATGTCTTTTCATACTATTAATTACACTCGTGTGTATGTGTGTTTTGTACTATTTCGTTGCTGTTCGAGTTTGACATATTTACTTCCGTTTTTATTTAGCACAGTTAGATGATATAACATATCTGACGCGACTTTCACGTCGCGACCTTCACATTGAAGTATCCGTCTTTAGTTTAATAAACGGATTTATTTTCTATACGTTCTTGAAGAATATTTTTATCGCACACTCTATATGATATATCCGCATGATAAATGAATTATGAATCATATCTATATTAAGTACGTGTCAAATGTGCACGTAATTGGCGATACAGATCAGTGATAACGAGTATCAATGCGATTAGGAAACATTGAATGAGCTTAGCGGAACGAAATTTTTGATAGGAAAATACTCAAATGATTTGAATAATATCCCCAAAATCTGTTCAAAATTAAAATTGCAAATTATCGGAAATATCTCCTTATTTTTTATAGTTTTGGCAGTTATAATTGTCAATATTTGTCTTTATTAATCCCGTGTTGTAACTATAACACAACAAAAATAGATATTCGCTTTAACATCAAATCTCGGAAGATACTTTGATATGTTTAATTGTTTCTGCGATGCATTTGTCAGTTAAGAGGACAATTTTTATACATTATGGATCGATTACTCATAAGACTTTTACAACTGGAGCAAATGATAAAATTGAAAAACTTACATTCTAAGCTCAAAATTGCATCTTAAACTATCCACTAAAGAAATATATATTATACAAAGGTTTAAATTAATAGAAAAACTTTTGTTTAATAGTTTAACGTTTTTTTTTTAATTTGAGGAAAGAAAATTTACATAGATAACCGAAATAATGAGGAGCTTCAAGCTATTTTCTTTAAATGTAAATATTTTCAAATGTTTAAAATTGTCACTCTGCACCAGTTTTGTAAGACATCTTATAACACAATCATACTAAAATATTAATTACAGAACAGCTTAAGAAAAGTATTAATTTATATTTTAATGAAATTACATAATCATGCGTCTAATGCTTATTCTATTTATATTTTACTAGTTAAACATAAAGATCTGCGAGAGAATCGAGCTGGTAATTGCAGAGAACTTCATTTTAGATTAGATATTTGATTTAATAACCTAATCTTCGGCGAATTTTCTTCGCTGTTGCGATAAGATCGTCACGTGTGGCATGAGTGACGATTGCGAGACTGCAATAACTGAAACAGGTATGGATGAGCGAGTAATTCGACAAAATTATTTGTGTTATTTCGGAAAGATAGCTTATCATTGCGTCACATAACATTTCCGGACACAAAAACCTGTTTGTAATGAAACACGTGATACGTGACTTCGACATTGCATAATACTTAATTATGATAAACCTACATCTGCGAAAAATAATTAGTTTTTCTAGATAGAGAAATATCTAAATGTACATACTTTAAATTTGCGAATTTAATGCAGGATGGGGTATCTGGCATTACTTCATCGTCGCTCTGTGCGGCCTACTGTCGCTTGCGGAAGCGAACACTTCTCTGACTGTTCCCGTTTTGGCACCGCTGATAGCGTGCGATTTAAAGCTCAACAGGGATCAGGCCACAATGCCTATCGCCACTTCCAGTTTCGGTACACGATATCAAAAATTGCTACATTAATGACTCATGCCGGCATGTTAAATTAGTAATTTAATCAAATTGAAATTAAATTATTCTGTTGAATTATTAGTTAAATTCCAATGCAAAAAAACGGAAAATATTAAAAATATATAATTTACATATCTCGTCCATTATGTATAAAAACTTCAATTTATCGATTTATGTTTTTTCTTTTAATGTTAATCATGTAGGAATGGCAGCAGGTGCTTTTCTGTTTGGAACTATATCAGACGTTGCAGGTCGCAAAAAATTAATCCCGATTACTTTGGGCATAGTGTTTTGCGCTTCGGCTGCTCTTGCCTTCGCTCAAGCTAATTTCTTTATAAACCTATCAGTATTCATGTTGGGACTCGGGTAATTTTCTATCTTTTTATAACGAAAAACGATTTGTAGAATTTTACGATATATATATTAAAATGATAAAAAATTGCGCGCGATACGTTTTACGTGTTTAAAAAAAATTTTTTAACTGTTTACTTATATTTTTATTATATTAACATACATTTTATATTTAAAATTCTTTGTCATTTTTTATCAAGAAAATGATATTTCTGCTTGTATTTTTGGTATGCAAAAAATACTGCGGAAACTACGTCATATAGATTATGCATTCGTAATTGCACGAAAGCGCGCATTTCATTTCATCTTATGTGTAATAATTGCGTCATTGACATTCGTAGAGTGGCCGGAAATAATATCGTTCTGAGAGTTTATCTCGTCGAATGCCTACCGATGAGAAAGAGAGGAACTTGTTTAGCAGTAATCGACATGTTTTGGATAGTCGGCTATATATCAGCTTTAGGTAATTGAATGATTTTATTAATAATTACGCAATTTTTGTTAAAAAATTACGTTAAATTGATTAAACATCTTTAATTCATAATTTTAATTTATTTTTTATTAAACATGTTATTTTTCTAATATTAAAATTTTAAATGTAATTTCAGTGTAACCGTAAGAAAACGTCGATTACTGAACATTTACATACCTTAATCCTTTTTTTATTTTTGCATCAATTATTTATTTTAAAAAATACAACGACGATCCTTAAAAATAATTCTATTACACATTTGTTATGGCTCAGCATTAGCGAGATATGAGAAAATTGGAAGGTTTAGTTAAATAAGAAGCAATTATATTTAAATTTATTTAACTTATTAAAATAATTGTCTAATGACTTATCGATATTTGTGGAAAGATTTTAAATGTCATCAAATACATTACTGAAATTTTCAATCGAGCGAGACATTATTATGTCGAAAAATCTCAGAGAGATTCCTTTGTTCGGAAAGGCATTTCCTGGTCCATGATGCCGTCCGTCATACGCATGCTGGGCAAGCAATTCCGGCCGAGTTCCTGGCGAGTACTCGCCATTGTCTGCGGCACGCCAAGCCTGGTGATCGCCTGCACCTCGGGTCTTCTACCGCCGAGTCCCCGACACTCGTTGCACCGTCGACGGCTGGGACAAGCGCTCACGGTGCTCGAACAGATGTACGCCATCAATAATTCGAAGCACGCCGATACCTACCCGGTACGACGACTCGACGCACTCCGTCGAGGATCTCATTATTTCCTTAGTCCATTTCCAATCCTCATTTGCCATCGTTCAAGTCCTGAAAGGGCGATTCTGTAAGCTCGATTTGTGAGAAAAAATAAAAAAGAAACAAACAGAATTCTAGATACGAAATATAAAACAATATAGATATAAAGATTAGAAATTATTTATCAACACAATTAGGCAAATTTTAATTACGAAAACGCAAATAGCGGTCTAAAGCGGTTCTTCATGCTTGATATAATATAATATGTGAATCTTACAATTTTTATTTCAGTCAAACTGTGCGTCGCATAACTGTCGAGCTTTAAAACGTAGCTCCAAACTAAACAGTTCGTAATATCATAATTAAATTGTCAAGGCAATCTAATAATTCGATGCTTATAGAGAGCATCTAAAATAACTTATTGCGAAAAATATTACCTCAGCTAGGATTTTTCGCAACAATTATTTTCACAGAATTTAAAAAGATGCTCTATATTCTCTATAAGCATCGAATTATTAAATTGCCTTGGCAATTGTAATATTACGAACTGTTTAGAGCTACGTTTTAAAGATCGACGATTATGCGATGCGCATTTTGCCTCAACCAACAATAAGAATTGTAAGATTCACATATTATAATATTATCAAGCATCAAGGATCGCTTTGTGAAGTGCTGTTAGCGTTTTCGTATCTTAATTGTTTGTAACACTTCGTGATCGATCTCGCGGTGATACTTAAATTTTAATTAGATGGAAAATGAATATCTTAATTGATGATTAGAGATGAATAATATTTATTTTTTGATATATTTTTTATATTTTATTCGTGATGATTCTTCTTTATTTCTTCGGAATTGTTCTTCGCAAGCCAGGTCAGAGATTTGGAAGGCCTCGTGCGTCCAGACGACGAGGATGAAGCTGGCATTATTCAAAGGTACTTCACGAAAACCTGGGAACGGATTCACAGAGTGTACAAGCCTCCGTACAAGCGGGTGACACTGTGCGGAATGTTAGCGTGCCTCTTGCACTTTCCTGGGTAATAAAGGCGGTTCCTCTGTAAGTTATAGTTGCTTTCCATTTACATAAAAACTCAGATAATTCTCATTTGTGACGTCGTAACTCAGTTGAATGCACGTTCCTTTTTATTCTGATAAGTGAGAGTCAACTGAGTTTTTATCTATAATCTGCACAATTTCGAGACCGTGTGCTTTACTGATTGTGAGTCTTGTTAACTCACATTAAAAGCGAGGTATAAACCTTTTATACGCGATAACTTTTCATCATCACGTAACTTTAGACTCAGTATCACTTGTGTAAAAATGGAAAGCAACTAATCTGTCATCCGCGCTCCGATTGCAAGGGGAATCACGAGAACGATGTTTAAGATTCGCTTGGCTCGCTCTGTGGAACACGCACGTTCTCCAGGAAATGGCAGAGGACCACGTGAACGTCGTGGGCGGGAACGGCACGTGTCGCGTCGACGTCCAGAGCATGGCGTTGGATTTTTTGCGAAGCTGCGACGAGGTGAACGAGGCTCGTTTCGAAATGCTGTCGCTGATATCGCTGGGCTACGTGCTGGGAGAGACGTTGCTCGTCCTCGGAATCGACGTCATTGGCAGAAGGTCGTGCTTAAGTAAGCACCTATAGACCTAAACGATCGTCAAGGATCACTGTCGCTATTAAGATCATTCGATCAAAATTTCATTTAATTGAATATAACAATTCTGTATTTATCTAAAACGTTTTCTAAAATTTTCACTTTTCAGGTTGTTATTTGACTTAAAAACTATTTAGACAAAAATTAAAATTTAAAGACCGACAGTCGGCTCCGTCGCGCAGTTTACGATAGCTAAAATTTGAAAGGTTTAAAAATTTTAAATATATCATTAAGCAATCAACGTCTAGCCTTGATCGTATTTAGCTCAATTTTTTTATTCCTTATTGTAAAAATTTTTTTTATATAATCGTGAAAATATATACTTTAATATACATATTTAATATATAAAAGGATCTCTTCTCTGATTGCCTTCAGTACTTTCGGGATTGGCGGGTAGCCTGGCCTCGCTCACGCTTATTTTCCGATTGCACCACACGATACGTGTAACTCTCTCGTCGATTTTCCTGGCCGCTTACGCTATCGGGCGCACGACGACGTGCGTTTCGCTGCTGGAAAATTATCCCACCGCTCTGAGGTAGGTCGCGCGAAACGGTACGGCCGGCACGTATCCGGCTAATCTTAGACCGTCAGACGCGTTTTCGGGAATCAAATGTTTGCGAACGCGACGCGTACATAAAACTCGTAGTTTCTGGTACCCGGTTCCAGGGGCACGATGATGGGTCTGACGAGGATACTTCCCCACTTGACGGCTTTCGCGCTGCAGCTCTCCCTGAGGACGACCTGCCTGCTAAGTATAATCGTCGCGTCGGCCAGCTTGATGGGTATACGAAGAAGCGATCGTTATTACGTTTCTCATTTATGCCACTATTAAATATCAAATATTTCGCAGGTGCGGCGATCGCGATGCTACTGGTGCCCGATTTAACCAGATTGCCGATGAAGGAATAATTCGAACTTCTGGAAATGCATGAAAGGTGCGTTTTCTCTACGAGCGAAGCGGCGGCTGTTTTTCTCGAATAAAATTTTATTTTGCATGCATCCCTCTTTCCTTCGTCAGTGTCCATCAGCGTTGAATAATTTGTTAATTTGCAATTATTTCTGAGTCAGAATTATCGATTTAATATCCCGCTCTTTAAGTACAGGTCTCAGGAGATCTCATTATATTTTTCGTTTTCCTAATGGACCCACAATTCTTAGCGATCTCGCGAGCTTCTCTCCGCCGCAGGGTTCTCTATCGCGCGGCGAAAGTAGCACGGGCGAGCTTTATGATCGGTAGCGTCATTCCGCGGCGCTTATAAATAAGGACCGCACGATCGCGTCTTCCCGCCGCCGCCTTCCCGTCTATTTTCGACGGGAACAGGAAGAACGCTCTCGCTCACGCGAGCAGTCGCGCATGCCCGCCTGCCGACGCCGAGACGGGAGTCTCGGCGTCGCGACGCCTTTGCAACTCGTGCGTGTATTCAATACACGTACACGCGCGCACACACACACGAGCATCCGCCGTAAATACATACGGGCGAATGCTCGTCACCGAAAATAATTCGGCGCGCTATCGCCGAAGTCTCGAAACGCGCGGCGTCCGACGAGCTTCTCGCTCTCGCGGGCGAAGAGGCGACCTCGCGAGGTCGCGCGGAGCGGATTCCCGTCGCCTTCGGAGGCCGTTCGCGAGGGCGAAACGTTCGGGAGTGAACACCGAGAACGCGAATCCGCGATTTCAGTCGGTGATCGAATGCAAAAATAAAAAGAAGAGAGAGAGAGAGAGAGAAAGAAAGAGAGTGCCGTAATCTCTCGCGTGGACGTATGTAATCGCGACCCGATTAATTGAGACGCTTCGTTGAGAGAGCCTTTCAATACTTTATTGTAACATTGATGTACGTGGGTGATAAAAAGTAGTATACTATCAGTTTCTATCGACTATAATTTTGAAAAAAGGGCCCTACGATGGAATAAATTTTTAGAGTGAAAAAAACGGAGACAATAGGCGTAACGTCACTATCCTCTCCGGATAAAGCAACGTGGAAGAAATTTGGGCGGACCTCTCGTAACAAAGGAAACGTGCGCCGCGTAAAACAAAGGTGCTTTTTTGATCCGCATAAATAGATACTTAAACAGATATTTGACATTATCGCAGCAAATGCTACAGTGAAATCTAGTGAGTTCTTTTAACACATTAAACTACGAAACATCATCACGTTCGAGCGGAAATAAAGAAAGGAACCGGTGAAGAAACTTGATGGAGCAATCGTGTGAAAATTATAGAAAGCGTAAATTGCCGGCGGAGAGCCTTAGTGCCAAATAAATAAAGAAAGAGATTGATGTTTCTTCCTTGTACTTTTTGTGCTTTTCTAGCTCTCGTGTAGCAAGAGAGGGAAAAGCGCGTCGGAGAAACGCGCGTTCGTGCATTCGGGCCCATTACCGCCGCGTTTCGCTTCCCATAATATTTATACGATCGGATGTTTACCGGAGGAATCAACACTTCGCTTGTACCATCAATTTATAGATCGCATTTCCGTCTACGCGCGGGAGCGTACAGAAACAAATCTGACAAAGAACATTTATTATGGCACAAACATTTGGACGGAAGGTATTCGGATCTTTTCGAGTAAACCGGCGTAAGCGAAATATACCAGTGGCATAAAAGAAATACGTAATAAAATTCTTTTAATCGAAGAAGCTCGCTACGCGTAATAATGACGAAATAAAAAAAAACAGTCTACGAGATCGCGTAACAAGATACAAAGATTTCGATATTACAGTTTTTATATTGCGATTTTTTAGTTTACTGAAACAACGAGGTACGGAATAGAGTAAAATTATCAAAATTGAAATAAATATTTAAGATATAAAGGCATTAAAATCCGAGAAGATATCCGGTGCGCGAATCCAAGTTGCGCGAATTTTATGGACCGGCGTAACGGCACGTTACGGCGCCGTTTCGGTGAAACCACATGAAAGATGACAGCGTCGTTAAATTCCCATAATTGTCGTTCGTTAAATATCGCCTGTCGCGTTCCGCGGAATATCTAGATCTCGCGTCTCCTTCGCTCCGGCAATCCGTTCAATGGCGAAAGATAATGCCCGGCCGGCCGAGGAATCCGGCGCGCTCGAGGCCGAGAGGAAGCCGGGCTGCCCGAGTCGCAGCTCGCGAGATCAAAGAGCAGGAGCTGCTGCAGCCAGGGTCAAGGACAAGCCCGAGGAGGGTCGACTTCCGACCCCGCCCCCGGATCCGCAGTTGCCGGTCGCGCTCGCACGGGATCATCGTACGACGCCGGGGGTGACGTCGTCCCGCGACGAGGAGGAGGAGGACCTCGCGGCTTATCTCGGCGAGCTCGGCGCGTCGCCGTTCGACGGCCACTCGTTCGACTACGACAACACCACCACCACGCCGAACTCGGCGACCTCGGCGATGGGCGGCGACGCGACCCCCTTCACCGAGGAGGCGTTCGAGCACCTGGACCGGTTGTGCGCGCTGACGGAGCAGATCCTGGAGCTGCGCGCGCGCAGCTCCGAGCACTTCCGGCGCGTGCGGGGCCTGGAGCGCGCGAAGGTGCGGCGTAGCGCTAATCGCCGGCTGGAGATCGCGCTGGCGAACGGCGAGGAGCTGCACCATGACTTCGCCGACGAGGACACCGGCTTCGCGGAGTCGCTGCTGGACGCGATGCTGTCGAATTGCCGGGACGCCGCGTCCTCGACGCCGCGGCGGAGCGAGCGCTCGAGCGTGCGGTCGTCCGCTTCGAGACAACGAAGCCGATCGCTCGCGCTGGCCGAGCAGAATCTCGGCTCGCGCCTGGTCGAGCGAACCGGCGGCGACGCGGACAAGACGAGCGCCGCGAGAAACGCCGGTCGCAATAGCGTCGGCGGCGGCCCGAAGGTCAGCAAGTGGACCAGGGTGAAGGCGGCCTTCAAATGGGAGCGCGCGTGCACGAACGATCTCGCGGACATCGCGGAATCGGACGCGGCGCCGGCGACCACGTCGCCGATCCCGACGACGAGGTACCTGCGAATCCCGGACGCGACCACCGCCGGCAGCTGGAGCACCGGATCGGCGGCGCTGTCGCCCTGCACCAGCGAGCTGTCCAGCCCGTCCACGCCGATCGGCAGAGTATCGTCCGCGTCGTCGTCCAACGACGATGTGTTCGACGGTGAGAATATGCGTCTGCTATATTTTCACAAAGCGTTCTCCAAAGTAGACGTTGCATTATACATTCATTAATTCGGGGGCAATTTGGTTTAGAATGGAAATTTCGAAACTATAATATCGGAGTCGTTTTAAAATTAAGGGTATTCGCGGATCAAGCTTCAAAATTGTAAATTGATAATTATAAAAGCTTCTGATCAGCCATAAGCAGATTGTTGCTTAATAGAGGATTATCGTGGTATTTAATAATGAGACAGCAAATTCGATCTCAAACTTGCAGGTAGTAAACGTGTTCGATAATTAATTGAAAATTTGACGCAACAAAGATATCGCGCTATTCTTATCTTTTTTGTCAAAATATCATAAAATTATTTCTCTGTACAATGAAAAATTTTGCATCTTTGCTATAAATAGGTCAATAGGAGATTATCCTAATATAATTAAATATTTTTTTAGATTCGCGCAAACATATCTTGAATTATCCGGATCGACAATCGCCTTTCGGGAAGGATGATAAAAAGAGAGACGATCCAGATCGGTACGGTCGATCGCTCGATCGCGACACTTCCGTCACCGAGAGCGCCGATTCCATAGAATCTCCTACTGAGGTAACATCAAAATAGAAAAAATCTCATAACTCAATTGCAGCATTTTGCAAATATCATATGAATTTTTATTCTTCCTACCACGTTGCGTTCCGTCGTCACAAAAGAACGTCGCGTCGGCGACGGTTCGCATCACGAGAGCAGCAGTTCGATAAGAACGTCTCGCAAAATTCCTTTTTCGCGACACGAGCATGGCGCGCGTTATACATATGTACAAGTGTCGGCTTAAAAATATCCACGGCAACACGCGCGTACGACCGCGCCCGTTGAATTTCTTTGATCAACGCATCGCGAGCGTATCCGTTAACAGACAGACGGTTCCATTCTGAGGCGAAGAGACGGTCCCCTGGCTAAAATTGCTCTCGCACATTCGTATAACCGAGACTGTCAATCTCTTTGTCAATTGTCGCGATATTTAAATTAGAGCGAGTCCGACGTTTAACGCGCCAAAATGTAATTTGTTTTTTCTTCTTTCAAGCACAAAACATTTAAAATTGTTTTTTTATTTAAAATATGAATTTATTTTATATTTATTATTATCTTATATTACACATATTAATGAACGGGTATTGTTTGTTGTTGATTACTCTCGTAATTATACTCTATTTTTTATGTAAAAGAAAAAAATGATAAGAAATCTAATTTTATTGCGTTGAAATTTTTCTGTTCTCTCAATCAGGCCAATCGCGGTAAGCCACTGATTCGCATTATATCGGACGCGGATGCGACAATGCACGCTGCGAGCGGGAGAGATCCGGAAGTGTCGCTGAAGAGGCCGACGCCGACCCTGACGATCACGATACCGTCGAACGAGGAGGAAGTCAGAAGCTTGTCCTCGCCGGAATCGACGTCTCCGCTCCCGTCGAGCGCGCAGGACTCCGGCGGGAGCTCGCCGCAGCGTCCCAGGACGCGACCGGACGTTTTGAACCTGAGGGAATTCAAACGACAGGTTTGAACGAGCGAAGAGATTTGTACAAGTCTCTCGTGTTTGCGATATAGATTTCGCGATCCTGTATTTTCGTATTTGCTGTCGTCACCCTTAAATATAGACTTAATCGTCGCCGTCGCGGAAAAGGCTGACTCCGTTCGCTCCGAAACTGAAACAGAGTCTTTTCTTTTCTTTCCGTCTTCGCGTTGACGGGGGACGCGTCGCCGCACGCGGCATTTGGAACGAAATATGCCGTATTCGTTTACGAGGGCATAAATAACGCTGTAAATAACGTTTCCCTCCGAATTCCATCCGCGTGCTTTCCCTTGCCAAACGACGTCTCGTCACGGACGACGTCGTCACCGTGACACGCAGAAAATGTGATGTTTGCTTCCAGTATTCGACGATCGAGGAAGCAGTAACGCCCGCGCCAAAGATACAACAGCAAGATTCGAAATGGAACAAGGTCAGACGCGCCTTTCTGACGAACGCCACCTTCAGCGTGCCTCCGAGCCCGATTAGAGTGGTCGCGCCGCAATCGTTCGCGAATGATGGTGAGATAATTCAGCAAATTCTCCTTCCCGGAGAGCGCAATGTTAAATCAACATACATTCTGCGAAATCTGACGAAGAGCTAACATTAGTAATGGTATAGCTACTAATCGCGAGGAAGCTACTAATACAAAGAATCTAAATCTGTAACATGTACAATTCTATTTAATTAAATCTCTCAAAAGCCTGAGGAAATTTTCAGCAGATTTTAGAATCCCACGTCTAGTAATTTTATTGCTGATTCTCGCGAAATCTTTTACATTTTTCTGCCATAAATCTTCATTTAAAAGAAACATATTATGTGTATCCAATCACAAAGGCGCGCGAAGATAAATGGTTCCGTTACGCATTTATTTCCGAAGTTCAAAACAAGCGGGACCAATTTCTTCGAATTATTCACAATTTCAAGAGCGTCGGATTAACTAAATAATTAATTTAAAATTAATTATTCGTTACTTATCGATTTTAGAGTTTGTCTAACAGCTCGCTTGTACTGCCTGCCTATTTCTTAGTTCCACGTTTTTTCCGTCGCATTTTAGACTTCTTCAGCTGGACGATACATTTTTTCATCAGTCGCAACAAATCCGTCGTCTTTTTGCGATTTATCTCTATCGTTTCCTGCGTCGTGATTTCGTGCGTTCTTAAGACCGTCTCGCGAAACTTGGCGATCTCCTTGAGCTTGCGACAAGCCTCCTCGTTCATCCGATCGAGCATCCTCGTCGCTTCGTCCGATCGCTCCTTCGTACATCTCGCGAGATCGAGAGGAAGATCGTGCTTGCGACACGCGACGAGATTCTTCTCAGCGCTCTCGACGGAATCCGACACGTCGCTTCGCAATTTTGCCAGCATGGACGCTATACGCTTCTCGTTCGGACCGATCGCTCGCTCCACAGCGTCGAAGGAACGTTTTATCTCGTCATTGAGCAGCAACGTCTTCTTTCGCATCCAGATGCCATAAGCACCGTTCAGTTTCATCACTTCGTCCAGTTTTCCCGTCGTCTTCGTGAGGAGATATTCCAATTGTGTCGCTCGAGTGGCCCTGTTGCTATCCAAACGACTCTTTACGTCGTTCGCGATCAATTGCGTCTCATCTTCCACGAATTTTATCAGATCTTCGACACGGAGCTTTAGGCATTGTCGTGCCTTTATGTAATCGTCACCGATTGTAATTGCTTTGCACTAAAATTTATGACGCTTTATGAAATGACATTAATAAATTGATAACATTATCGTATACTTTTAGATATTCTGAGAATATTTTTTAGAGGCAGCGAGATTTCATTTTTACAAAGCAGTTCTTATTAAATAATCGAATATTCAAATTTATGATTTCTCAATTTTTGATATCGATTAATTTAAGGATAAATTAAATTCTTTTTATACAAAATTACTTTTTTTACATAAATAATTTGCATGTTAAAAGATTTATATAATAAAAGTTTCAATCAAAATTTGCATTTAACCTATTTGCGCACTTTTTTAAAGACGTTTGAGAAAGAGTTAGATTATAATTAGCTTGAGATTTACTTCAGGCTTATTGTTAGACTTGGAAAACAACTTTTTACAGCAGAGTTGCGCGAACGATGGCTTGGGACATTGTTCGAGCCTCTTCTGGTATTGTTTGCGGGTTAAACGAATTTTATTTTCCAGCGGTTCTGGCCACTCGATAAATCTGCCATTTCGTGATACTTTTTTACTGAAGTGATGAATGGGCAATGAATTTCTCGCAATATTAGTCAGAATTTGACAGCATACTTGAAAATTTTTTGGCAACATGCCACTCGCACATGTGTCACATGTTGCTCTTGTCAAAACAAAATAAAAATAGTGAATTGTGTATGTCCTACATGCGTGACAAACAAAAGACTCTAATTTGATTTAAAGAAATATATATTAATGCGTATTCAATGCAAATACACACATTATCAAACATAAAGTATAATAAGAAAAAAAATTCTCAAGAATCTCATTTTTATGAATAATTCATGCTTATATCGTTTAATGTAGTGTGCTGCAATTATTGCTATTAAATGCACTTTGTGGGAATAGCTTCAATTTAATCTACGGATGTCATTATCTTTTTTTAGATCAATGTCTGTCATTGAGTACGAATAATATAAGCTCTTTTATTGCTAGCTTTACGAGTTCCGCTTGAAAACATGATTAATTCCGCCCGCAAGAATCGCGAAGATCTCTTAACCCTTCCGCATGTTTATCACGCGCTTCTCGTCGCCGCATAAAATGTCTTCGTTGTAAACGCAGATACGCGCCGAGCTCGCAGCTGTAGCGAAAGCGTCGAGGATCTCGGTAAAACCGCGGTTGCAGGTACCAACAACAACGGCAATCATTATCGGGAGGCGCGCAGGGATTACCAGGCGCTGCGGGAGAAGTTCGGCGCCGAGTTTCAGCGGAAGCTGATCGAGTGGGAGCGGCTGAAGGGCTCGCAGAACGTACGCAACGGCCTGCCGTTGAACGAGGAGCGGCTCGCGCCCGAGTTTCGCAAGAAGCTGCAGGACTGGAAGCGCGCGAAGAAGGGCCGCCGGTCCAGCGCGGCGATCGAGCAGCAGCGCGTCAGCCGTCGACGGCTGACCGACTGGCAGCTATGGCGTTCCTCCTCGTCGAAACCTGAGCCCAGGTGTTACGGCGTACGTTGATCTCCATGAGCAGTCGCGTGAAAAATAACAAACATCTCTCGGGGAAAGAGAAGGCTTCTTTAGATAAGGATCATCAAAGCTGTAAACTTGTAAAATTTGGAACGACTTGTTACTCAAAATACGCGAAACCTTTTTATCTTTTATTATAATACGATAATTTTCTAATTGAGATTTTTAACTTTTATTATAATACGATAGTCTTCTAATTAAGATTTTTAATCGAAAACTTCGCGCGAATGAAAGATCTTTCTCTGCGATTAATGCGGTATCTACATGCTTTTTCATCTGATTCATGACATTTCTGAATATTTTTCACGCGACAGAAAAATCAGGGCTCGATCGGCTCGCGCGGGAGCTGCGCGAGTATCGGCAGCGCGGCGAGCTTCGGTAGCGACGGGAGGCAGCATCTCTGCGAGGATTTTATCAAGAGGATGGAGGCGTGGAGGAGGATGAGCGAGGCTGCGTGCCGAGGTGGCGAGCGACCGAAGTCACCGACGGCGAATCGCGTCGCGTCCGACGACATCGACGAAACGGAGTTTCTCGCTTTGGAAAAGCTGCTGCTGCTGTTCGGACAGAGGACCAGGATGGAACTTCGGGAGAGCGACGCGAGGCAGCTGAATGACTGCTTCGATGGCGATTCGAGGTACGTCAGTTCGCGGACGACGTAGAATATATCTGACAGTTATTGCGCTTATTATGACACAACACAGATCTGCAGTTATCGCTATTAAATGCAATTCGCCGAAACAGCTTCAATTCAATTTACGGGCGTACGTCACTATCTTTTTTTAAATCATCATCCTATCAATATGCTGTAGAGAAACAGATTTGCTTCATTAAAATTGTTTCTGAAAATTAGGTATATTGCTGCGATTAATTTTTGATTCTAAAATGCATAGTCTTGTAATAAGGATTTGCATCATCTAAAGTAGAAAGATACAATAAGACAAGACAAAATTAAGCCTTCAAATTTTGTTTGCAAAAGCCAAAAGCGCGCTGAAATCAAAACTTTAATTTTCTCGTCGTGAAAGACATAATTTCTAGATTTTGCAAAACAATAATTGTAATAAATCATTTTTACCGCATATCTTTATATCTTAAATAAAATGATTGAAGCTAATCGCGTTTTGCAAATTATTGAGTTTTTCGATTGATTCAAGATTCATGGCTGCATCTCGAGGTGTAAGCTGCGGTAACGAAGTGTTGATTCGCACGTCCGTTGGCTCGTATCGCTTCGAGGGTATATCTCGAGAATTTACGAGAAAGCTGTACGACTGGGAGAAGTACCGCGGGATATCACCGAGGTCCTCCACGTTCCGCCTCTTGGGGCCGGGCTACACGCCGTTCGCGCAAGATTCGGACGAAGCTACATTGGCAGAGTCAAATACGACGGGTAAGCTTAAATATAATTTTGAAAAAAGCTTGATATTCTGAAGTGACGGCTGCTAGAATACTGTTGCTCTGCCCTTGTAAAGGCAAGAATCATGCATTCCACTGGACCCTGAAGCGATCCAAGTCCGACGGCAGCGTCTTCGAGGGCAGCCTTCGTGACGAATCGTTCACGCTACGTCGCTCCGCGAGCCTTCAGTCTCTCGCCTCTGCAGACAAGCTCGAAGACGACACTCGGATGGACGTCTTACCCGTCTCCAGTAAGTATAATTATTCTACCAACGATTTATCCTTAACATTCTTAATATTCTTTGACGTTTTAATATTCTCAAACTCTGTTTGACATCATTAGCTAATCGCAAACTTAATTTTCAAAAGTGTAATTTTATATCCTTAATTATTTACACTTAATTTTACAATGCACTTCACTTTTACCCATTTATTTTTGATTTATCTAAATTTCCTACATGCTTTATGATACGTGCTGATTTCATATCTATAATTTTCTATCAGTTACCAATAATTTATAATATATTTACTTGTCGCAGATAATTCACAAGGGATCAAAGACTCAGAAGATATGGCGGTAGAGGACTCTGAGCCAGAGGCGATGATTGTCGACATAGAGGACGTTATCGAGGAGACCGCCAGCCCCTTGGCGGGAGTGCAGCCCCATCAAACGCCGGTGTACTCCGTCGCGGCCAGCGAAACCACCAGCATCGCCGTTCCCCTCGGCACAGTCACATCGAGCCACGAGCCCTCGCCGGTGTTCCTGGTAAAGTCCGAGGAGGATAAGGACCGCGAGCGATGGAACGGCGGAAAGATCGGGCCGCAGACTTGCTCGAGCGAGAACAGCCCGAGTCCGGAGTACTTTCCAGTGTCCGAGGACTGGCGCGGGAGGACGACGTCTCCGGACGAAGACAAGCGAAACTGGGGACCAAGCTGGTGCAAGGAGAGCAGGGAGGACGACGACTCCGCGGGATGGACCGAGAAAACGCGGCGCTCGATTCCGGATTCCGGCGATTCCGTGAAGTCCGACCGCTCGGTCGGGTGGAGTCGAGACACCTGGGACGAGTCTGGCGACGAAGCGAACAGGTAAACCCGCGAGTCAATCTCCTCAAGAAGTCGTCATTTTTTGACAGTTGCGTAAAAAATCGTGTGATGTGTTCTCAGAGATTCGCTGGGACTCGACTCGCCTTCCGCCCTGATCTGCTCCGAGAGTAAAAACGACGCAAGGAAAGAAGATTTCCTCGGTAAGATATTTTAGATACCAACTTGTATTTTATTTTACAAAATTGAAGTTTTTAATTATTTTTTTCTTTCGGGATATTTTCTAAGTGTATCAATTTCTTGTAAACGTATACGCCTTCCGATATTCCGATTTTAGAAGGTGACAACACCGGATCTACTCGCTCTAGGAAGAGTCTCGAAATCTCATCGACGGCTTCGAATGCGGAAGAATTTATGGTACATTTAAAACTAAAATTCAATCTTACTTTAATTTTACTTTAACGTATTAATTTTGCACGTTTATCTAACTTTAATATTTCTCGCGCGAAGCATGAAAACACGATAGATAAAAAAATAAATAAATCGCCTGTTCTCTCACGGGTAAAGCTGCTTAAGCCGCTCGTCAAGATGTCCGCAAGACATTCGAGTCACTGCGTCGAGGCTCAAACTTTTTGGAAAAGTAAGTTTTATCATAGCGCAATTGAAATTAGAGTCCTGTCGGTACAACCAGGACCCACCGCGCACGTGCGAGGGGATGGACGAGACGTGCAGGGAGAAGATCGAGGATCTAGCGGATGAATCGTCGTACAACGAGCGGACGAGCGATGCGAAGAATTTCCGAGATGACGAAGACGACGCGAAGGCCAAACGGGGAGAGATAATTTCCAGGGAAGATTTTTGCGCTTATCAATTAGCGACAACGGTACCATCACCGGACTGCCGTGATTCCGAGGAAACCTCACCGAAATTATCGAATTTAAATTCAGGTAAATCCATATCTTTCAATTTTATCAGTTTTATCGTGCTCTGCCTTTTATCGATTTTTATTCTTACAAAAATCTCGCGATAAATCTTCCATTGCACGGAAAGAAATGACTTATTGTTAGTATTATCAGCTGAATATCAGTAGCTAGTTCGAATTTTTCTGTAATAAAAGCGTACTTTAATAGGAATAGCTAAGAAGGTGGCATACGGAAAGAATGATTTTGCTAAAAGATTTGTTAAACATTCCTCAATAGAGTTAGCTAAACGTCATTTGATTCTAGCAGCAAATATTTCTTTGTTGTAGCGCCTAAATTTTTAAAACTAACAAATTGAGCTTTGGCATTAACAATATTAGCTGTTCCTATTTTAAAGATACATTTTAGCTGCGCTGACTAATCTTTTCTCTGCGTGTGCAGACGATAACAGGGATAACAGGGATACGTTGGAATGCCATGGTGTCGACAGCGAAAGTGAAGCTTCGGCACATTACGAGAGCTGCGGTTCACCTGAGTTGCAGACCGACGTGGACCGGCACTACGAAATTCTCACGTTTAAAACCGATACGTGCGGCAACGCGATGGACAGTCGTTTGTACGAGCCAGTCGACTATCAAATATGCGGCCCCTCCTACGACGACGTCGACGTAGGAGGAAGCAACGGCGCAAGAGAGATTTCTTCGAGGTTACCAGAAATGAAGAAATCAAAGTTTCCTTCGGAAACTCCAAGAGGTTTTTCGATCAACTCGACCGTTCAGACCATCCCCGTAACGGTCTCCAGGAACAGCGAAGAGCGCTGCCTGGAGAGAATTCTGATCAACAATGAGACCTTGAATAAGATAATCGTGCCTACGGCATGCGCGGAGAGCGGGACAAGATCCGTGGAGAGGATTCGCGATCGTTTCGCGAGCGCGAATCGCCGGGACGAGATCGCGACCGTCGGCGACTGCGCGTCTAACAACAAGAAGACGATTCGCGATCACCAAGTCGAGTGTCAAGTCAAGAAGGACGGCTCCGCCACCCGAAACGTCTTCGTGAAGACGAAGCGCATGATTTTCGGCCCGTTTCGTCGATCGGAGGACCGACCGTCCTCGAGGAAGCAGAGCGACGGCTCCGTTGACGGTCGGCCGCCGCGCTCGTCGAAATCCAAGAGCAAGTCGCGATCGGCATCGCCGAAGTTGTACCGGCCGGACGTTCTGCTGCGCGTGTCGTCGCTGCCGTGGCCGCTGCGCTCCGCGTCGAAGGACCGTGAGACTCCCTCCGCGGCTGAGTCCAGAAGAAGCTCAGCAAGCAAGGCGGAGGACGCAGTGACGGCCCGGGAAAAGAATTCACCGTGCGACGAGATTAAAGTGGATAATAAGAGATCGAACAAACAATTCAGCAGCAACAAAGAGCTACCATTCATCGATGTAGATGAAGAAAAAATTCGTCAGTTAGACGCGGGGTTTGCGACCACGCCGATAAACGCGTGCTCAACGGAACGTGCTTCTGCACGAGTTTCCGAGCAGCTAGAGAAATCGAAAGTAGCGATGATGATCGAGCGGGATCAAAGCGCGTGTCGAACGCGGAGCGAGTTTAAGTACAGTCACACGCCGGATGATGTAGAACGCGATAGAATCAAGTGTAGTCAAGAAGCGCAATTCGAAGGAAAACGCGACGGGAGAAGAACCCGCAGCCAGAAGCGAGAAGAGGATTGGCAAGAGGAGGTCAGGTTCGGCCGGAAGCGGGACGAGGCGAGGCAGCAGGACGAGAATCACGCGGTACCGTCGGACTTGATGCACAAGCTCAGGATACTTTCGGACGCCGCGGCGAGGAGAGAGGGACGAGCGACGACGGCGGAATCCTCCTCCGTGGTCAACAGCTTGGAGTCGCGTTCCTCCAGAATACGGCGTGCCAAGGAGAGCTTCCTGTCGCGGCGAGGCGGTCCCTTCTGCCGCTCCGTGACGGAACTGTCGGAGGCCGCTGCGAATCCGGAGGATCCATGGAGACGGACGTCGACGATCGCGGAGATGTCGGGCTTGAATGAGATCGCGGTGGCTGCCTCGCGTTCGGAAGAACTGGAGGACGCGAGAAACCGAGCGGAAACGACGACGTCGAGTGCGGAGCGCGACACCGCGACTTCGGAGGAGGACAAGGTCGACGCGCGAAGCCAAGCGGGAGGAGATCGCGCGATCGACGGTCGAGCGGATTCGCTGGTGAAGTCGGCGAGCGCCGGCATGATCAACGTGGATCCCGACACGTTTGATCGGCTGGCGACGGTCGATCGCGGGTGCGAGTCCCTGCCGAGGGCGATCGCGAAGCGCCGCGACTCCTCGAGTCCGCTGGCGAAGTTCGTCGGCAAGCTGAAGCTCTCGCGATTAATTCGCGCCCGGCACGTCGACGGCGGTAGCATGAGCACGATCACGACGTTGTGCAGGCAGAGTCTGTTGATCGACATGCGAAACGATCCCGGAAATCGACGGAACAACGAGGCTGATGATGATCAGAATGAGGATGATACTGACGACGATCGTTCGGATGCATCCTCTAGAACGATTCACGAATGAATCCGCTCTCTAAACGAGATTATTTATGTATTAATTATTCCAGGTATCTGTGAATTTTTTTAAAATCTGTTTCTCTTTCTTATGTTTCGTCTTCTTATAATAAAAAAAAATATTAATCTTCAGTAATAGAGTAGCCTACGAAGCGAATTACGAGGTAACGAATAATTAAATGTCTTAAGAGCTGTATTTGTTAATTGAATCGCATGCTTAAACGATAATAGAAAAGATGATACTTTTACAAAGAACGCGTATCATGGCCGACGTTAATCAACTTGCAAAGCTGATATGCAAATAACATACAGTCGTCTCTCTAAACGATATCTATGTATTGCGCTCTTATTTTATTTAGTCAAATTCCTCCATCAATTGAATATTAATATTAATATTTAGGTAATTTATTTATTAACAAGAGAACGTTGAAGCACACTAATGATATTAAGTTATGAACGATTTAAAGAACTCTTCTGGCGAATTAAGCTTCTTGGGAATTAATAAGTAACAAAACAGTTTTTATATTCGTAATGGCTATTTATGATGAACCACTTAATTAAAATAAAGGTGATGCATAAAAGATTAATGCAATTTACGGCATAGTTTGATTTTACAACGTGGTACTTCTTATCAATTCCTTTCTTACAGTTTTTTTTTGGTATCAATTAAAGCATATCTATTTTAATCTCAGCGTAATCATTCAGTGACATATTCTGCGAGTACACGCCTCGCGCAGAATATGCCACTATCACTCGTGTCGAATCTCGCGAGAATCTTGCGAATGGATTCGTCATACTTTTGAAAAAGGAAAGAAAAATTTACAATTCTAATTATTGTATATAAAATTACGCAAAAATCGTTGCCTCTTTTCTAAATAATGCATAAACCGTGTTCCCCTCCTCCCGTCTTTCTTTCTCCTGCAACGAACGGTAAACACAATGAGACGACGGTTACGGGTCCGACCGGTGTTTGATTAAACGGGATTAATGTCCCCGGGGCGATCTCAAGTGGCGAGGGGAGAGACGAGCGCGTGTCGCGAGCGCGTGCCTCCCCGAAGTCGCCACGGCTCGATTCTCCCTCACCCCTTCGCCGTCCCACGTGCGTGCCCTCTCGAGCCCGCTCCTCTCGGCCGTGCGGACCCTTCCGCCGCCGCGGCGGAAGCCCTTTCCACGGTGGAAACCGGGAGAGGATCGGGCGACTCGTCGAACCATGGCTCGATCGCATTAAACGGATTTCATTTGGCCTCCAAACGATCGTGCAAACAAACCGGTCGACCGGCGTCAGCGACTCGTTTTCGGGCGCGCGTATATTGGCACAAAGCGTAACGAGGACGAGAGTGCCATGGGAAGGATGTTGATCTCCGACGAATCGACGTCCCACGGGACACCGGGGATGCAAACTCGCGTTTACGTTCTGCTGAGTTTTAATTTCCTTCTATACATATGCGCGTCTCGAAACGTTCGGCCTTTTTTTGCGGGGGCATCGCGAGGAAACGCCGTTACTGCTGCTCGTGATGATATAAGCCCATAAATTTGTTTAAACGACAGCGATATACAGATGATTAAAAAGAGAATTTATAAAGCGATTTCGATAATATCGGAAAGAGTTACTAAGCTGGGAGAGAGATACTTTGCTACATAAATACTTCTCTTGGAAGCAGAGTAGAACGGGTATTTTGCCCACGTCTCTCGTGTATCCTTCGATACTTGGAAGATAATCGAGGTTCGAGGACATTAAAGAGATCACAAGATATTGTATCGTCTAGGGTGGGGCCGGGAGTAACGCCGGGGCTTGAAACGCGTTGGGAAAAACGATCGCAGGTACGCCGATCCTCGGCCGATTTACGATTTGAGACGCGCGAGAGACGCAGGATCGTCGACGCAGGCCATGGCACAATGGGCGGTCGTGTTGCTCGTTGCCTTCGCCAGGATCGACGGCTCTCCGCCCGTCTACCTGCGTCTATAATCCGGAAGCGCTCGCGGGAGCACGCACGAGCGGGCACGTTGTAAGAGATATTACACGATCGTGGGATCGCGCGCGCGGACGCGGATTTCGTACGATCTCTCGCGTATACGAAAAAGGAGATCGCGCCCGGCGAGAGAGATCCCCTTCCCTTTTCATCTTAGACAATACACACGCGATCGACTTCCGTCGGACCACCCGGGCCGGGACTCTGCAGACGACGATTTTAGTGCGTCCCCTGTGTGCGATACCTATTGAAAAGGACCAGGGAATTACCCTTTGCGATTAATTTTTGAGCCCGTACATTTATATGTATAACATTCGTGACTTCTGCGGTCGAGAAGAGTCTCTCTCTCTCTCTCTCTCTCTCTCTCTCTCTCTCTCTCTCTCTCTCTCTCTCTCTCCGTATATACAATTTATTCATTTCTTCATTCCTGCCTTGCAAAATGGAATCGTTTTCTCCGCGAACAAGCTCGAGGGCGAGTTCATTGAATGCTATTATACAGCAGACTCGAGCTTGAACGAGCGCGGGCAGAAGGCAGCGTCGGTTCGCGACTCGGTCGCGCGAGCGAATGGCAGCAAGCGAAAACGTCGTCGGCGAGGACGCGGCTGATTTATGTCCACCGCGGTCGGCACTGCGAGTAATTCCGCCGCGACGGGTGCACGAGTGGACGTATACGCTGTTTATCTTCGCCCACGTGGGGCCAAGTCTAATTCTGCCACGTGTCTCGATAAAACCCTCGGTTTCAACGAGATCGATTAAAAGCGCGAAAATATTTATCAAACAATCATTCGACTTTGCAGTCGAGAAAGTGCTCTAACTCTAAAATGTTAGAAGGGCCTTTATTTTAATACTGCTATATATAATTACTTATAATTATTTATTGTAGGTTCAAAATTTATGGAGAGTCTTGCGATATTAATATATAACTTTTAATGTGTGGAATCTATTTTTATTATTTGTATCGTATTGATATTCGCGTTAGTGAATTGAAGATATCGGAGTTAAATTCTAGAAATATTAAATAAATTAAAGCTGCGTTATATGTATTGTATGACATAGCTTTCAAATTATCATGTCATGGCTGTAATGGACAGAAATATTTTCTTTAACTTTTTGAAAATATAAAAAAAGCTTCTCTCTTCTGAAATATTCAATTAATATAAAGTGTAAGCATGATTTAAGGGACAATCCCAGATCGACCAAGTGGAACGGGACGCGCATTTCCGCCGCATATTTCGTCGCAATCCCTAATTCCACGGTCACTTAGGTATCTCGTCCATAAATTACTATATTCAGTCTGTCCGGCTGTACTCGCGAAGAACGGCAAGCAGGGCCCGAGGAGGAGACACAGGTGCTGCGGAGACACACTGGCGCGCGGGGGCTGCCGAATGCGCGGTCTCCACCGACAAATTTCGACCGGCCGATCGCATGGCTATCGCTCGATCCGGTCGCGAGATATTGCGCTATCCCGACGCTTATAATCCCCCGATGCCGGTAGCCCGGATCCCGAGGACCGGAGATATTCGGCTGCGTATTCAGCCACGCGGCGTCAGACCGTCTCTCCGAAATAAAGCAATCGCCAAGATCAGACAACGGTGCGGCGGCGGTCGTTTGTCCCTTTATCCGCCTCCCCCTCTTTTGCGCAACCCTTTCCCGATCGCGCAAGTAGCCACTGCAGGCCGCTGGCCGCAGCCGGGCTTGCCCTTTGTCAGAAAACGGAGCCTGCTGACAGAGCGAAGGTGGTAGTCGAACTCCGCAGAATTAATCGCCCCGGGGAATATTTACGTTCTCTCGTCCAAAATAAAAAGGCCCGTCTCTCCCATCGCCCGTCTCTCTCCATCTCGGTCTTCTTCTCCCGCAATAAAATCTCCCGCGCGCTCCTCCTCCTTACGTCGTGGAGATCCTCGCGGTTGAGGACGCGACCGTGAATCGGCGCTTCGCGGCGGCGACCGCTTACGGTAGTTTGATCTTATCGCGACGGCCCGCAGCAGGGGCGAAAAGAAGTTACATGCCACGCGACGAAGCGCGAGACGCTCGTAAAACGACATGCTCGAGTATAATTAGCTCCCTGAATATTTTAATCGATGCGTTTTGTAGCGCAGGGGGAAAACTTGAGGACGCTCGATTAGATCTCGGAATCTTAAATGTGTTCTCGTACGTGTTAATAATTTTAGCTCTCGAAGTTCAGGAATTTTGAACTTTTCAAAATAACTCTTGCACGTATTTAATGTAATAATTTTCATATATATTCAACGTAATAATTTCTGTTGAAGCAGAATTGTAATTAAGCTTGTTAGCTTAGTTACAACGAATACGTGAAATACGGGGAAAAATATACTTTTATTATATCGGCAATGTAATAAAGCAATTGGCAAAACGCGCTTCTTCGGGAAAAGGGACGTTGCCGTTCAAGTTAGCACTTGGGATCTACTTTTCTCGCCGTCTTCTGGTTGAAAAGGACGTTCGAACGGTGACGGTTTGCACACGGAAGTTTGCTCTATCCCGCCCCCCGAGTAGCGAAAGGGCGAAGGCACTTCTATTGTCAATGGAACTCCCGGTCGGTTTACGATTTTCCAACAGTGTTTACTTAGACGTCTCTTCTTTTATTAATGTATCCCAAAGTATTTCGTATTTACCTAATTTCTGCGGTATCCAGAAGTTCACGTTTACGTGTTTTCCTACGCGAAACACTTCAGGGGCCGAGACTTTACGAGACTGAGAAGCAATCCACTTCCTTGATTGTTTAATCGACTTCCTTAATTGTGTATAAATAAGTGGATTGTCTTCAGTTTCGTGAAGTCCTGGTGTGTTTCCTCGTTAATGCTAATGCTCGTTTAGCGAAGTTTGAAAGCTTCACGCCGCCGAAAGAAGGCCGAGAGTATTTGGCGGAGGGGCACACACGCTGCTGGACGCGCGAGAAGGAAGAAAGGGAAGGAAGAGGAGTCATCGCCGAAGGAAGAAGTCTGCAGGTTCTCAAATTGCGATGAAACCGGGCACCGACGCGTCGCGCGGGTTTCATATAACGACCGGACCACCGATGGCG